GTGCGACCCCTCTTTCCCGTACCTCTGACTTCTTAAATTTAACACAACTTCTTACCCTTTCTCCAGAGAAATCCTTCACTTTTTCCCCCAACAGGCTGCCAACAGATAGTGCGTAAGCCAGCGGTGCCGACACCTAACTCCCAACGGCCGATTTGGGGGGTCAGCTATAGCAGGTATGCACCCTTGTTTGTTGTCGGATGATGGACCTGCCAGTGAGGGTGCATTTGGCGCACCGTCAGCCCGTTCTTCACCATTTGTTGGATCAGGTAAGCGGCAGCAACTGGTGGAAAAAGACTGATACAAAGTCAATGATACATTTTTGCCGCTAGCCAAAAGAAGAGAAAACGGGTGGCATCGCGCTAAACCTAATTCCACCTCGACACCCCATCGTCCTCAACGAACGAGACTGTAGTTTGTTCACTTCCCTCAGAGGCGGAGCCTACAGAAATAGAACGAGCTGGGCCTTATCTCACAATTTAATCTCATTCCTCTCTCTCTCTCAGTTTCGCTCAGTATTGGTTCAGATGCTCATAGGGAAGCGCTAACGGCTCAAGGCGAAATCATCTACTCGCTTGACATCTCTGAGGCTCCGCCCTTTCCTGAGTCGGACTCTCCTGGATGTTGCGTACCAAATGGAGAGGAGCGACTGCTCCTTGAAACACACATTACACCCGGAAGTCGGCAACAAAAGGAGCTATAATTGAGTAATCCTGTCTGATTTGTCACTAACAGAACAGCGTTGTGAGCAAGTCTGCCAATAACTACTGTATGACTCCTATGAGGTCGATACTGTCTTGATATCTTGTGAGCACAGGAAGTATTTTCCATCTTCTCTCATCTGTACTTTTATCTTGCACAACACCTACTGCTACAGTCATGACACTTTGTCTCCGAAAAAAATAATGGAATATAATGGACGAAAAAATTGGGCGCTGTTCGGCTTGATGGGAGCATCAAAGGATGCCCGGCGAAGCCTATACAGGCCAAATTGTGGAGTTTTTTGTATTCAAATGAGTTTACATTAGTTCACATGAACTAGCAAAAGGAACTAGCGAAAGTGCGAAATGCCTCTCCTAAGCCAAATAGCGCCAAAGTTGGGAATCGCTTATCGCTTTCTGCCAATTCTTTTTCTTCGACCGTAAAAGAGGAACCTCTGCAGCGCCTTCTCATTGAGCTCATCTTTCATTGAAGCTTCCTCTCACATCCCTTGCGGTGGCGTGCAGCGTCCGCAGCATCCATCTACATTAGGACTCTCCATTTTGCAGACGTCAAATTTCATTTTCCCTTGCGGAATCTGCCAACGAACATCACTCGGAGATTAATTTCGTACTAGTATTG